GTCTTCTTATATTTTTGTCAAATCCATCCACTATAGTATAACCTTTTCTTTTTCTAATTTTCTATGCGTAATTATTACCTCGATTTATTCAAATATTTTTCAAATAAATTCTCAAACTAAACTATATAAAAAGTGAAAAATAAAGCAATCTCATGAACAGCTTTTTTTTTGTTTCTCTAAACATTCTCAACGACTAAAGATTCAGACATACCGAATGTTCAGAAACGAATCAATCTTTCAATAACAAGAAAAAAAACAGAGCAGAGACATGCCTTCAAGACCAAATCCAATCCGACCAAAGCCATTCATAAACAAAACAAGAGTTCTCTTCTTAATCCTAACAATCTCATCTTCACTTGTCATCTTCTTCGCAATCCTCTACTTCATTTACCACCTCTGGTTTTCTCTTCTAAACCGTTCAAGAACAATCCCTTTCTTCGACGTCTCTGCTTCGCCATTAAAGCTCCAGCTTTTCTCTTACAAAGAACTCAAACTAGCAACAAACGATTTCGACGATGCAAACGTGATCGGTAAAGGCGGATCAGGGACTGTGTTCAGAGGCATTACAAGAGACGGGAAGCTTTTCGCTGTTAAAAGACTCGATAATCTCTCTCTTCAATCAGAGACTGAGTTTCAGAACGAGTTACAGATTCTTGGAGGGTTAAAATCGTCTTTTTTAGTTACCCTTTTAGGATACTGCGTTGAGAAGAATCAAAGGTTCTTGATTTATGAGTATATGCCTAACAAGAGTCTCCAAGAGCTTCTTTTCAATGAAGATGGAGATTCTTGCTTGGATTGGGAAAGGAGATTTAGTATTGTACTAGATGTAGCGAAAGCTCTTGACTTTATGCATTTTGGTTGTGACCCACCAGTGATTCATGGAGATATAAAGCCTAGTAATGTTCTTCTTGATTCTGAGTTTAGAGCAAAGATTTCTGATTTTGGTTTGTCAAGGGTTAAAGTTGAAGGAGGTTATGGTGTTGATTTGTTTAGTCAAGATTTGGGGAAAAGTCAAGAACTTTCTGGGAATTTTGGAGGAGAGAGTACTCCTCAAACTGCTATTGGTACTCCAATGCATTCTCATGAGGTTGATTTTGCTCTTGCTTTACAAGCTTCTTCGTCTTCGAAGAACAGTAGAACAAGTCGTAATATCAAAGGAATGAGTCTGAGTTCGATGAGCTTAGCTATGGAAGGTGATCAGACAAAAGGTAAAGAGGTTTTGAATGATGGTCATAATGTGTTGTTGTCATGTGAGGATCATGAGTTTGATCAGAGCAAGGAGATGAATTTGAGTCCGAATTCGGTTCTTGATTTGGAGAAAGGATCGAAACAATGGGGAAGGGATTGGTGGTGGAAGCAAGAAGGGAGTGGTGAATTGTGTAGTAAAGATTATGTTAGGGAATGGATAGGGAGTCAGATTGACACGGTGAATCCGGATTGGGACGATGAGAAGAAGATCATTGGCACTAGCACTCCTGAGCTGGGAGTTTCGACTAGGACAATCGATAAAGCGGAAGATCGAGATGGCTCTGGTTTGAATGAATCTAGGTTTGATACTCTAGGAGAGAAGTTTGCGAAAGAAGAGATCAGCGAGAGGAAGAACAAGAAATC